CGCTACCACACCCGGCTGATTTTTTGATTTATTGTAGAGATGAGGTCTCACTGCTCAGGCAAAATAATTTTTAAAAGATGACCAACAAATATAGGATAACAAACAGCATAACTTTTCTAAGAAGGTTTGTATATAGGAAGCCAAAGCCTAGGTAGAAGTACTAGCTTTAGGCAAAAAATAGGAAACACTGCCATTGTAAGAGGATGGGAAGAGAATACAGAATGCACTAAAATGGTTTACAGATTTGGTGGTAGAATGTTAAGTTAGCTAGTTCTAGACTAGTGACTTCTGTTTATCCATAATATCAAAAGAGGAACGAGCCGGGCTCGGTGGCTCAGCCTGTAATCCTGCGCCTTTGGGAGGCTGAGGTGAGTGGATTGCCTGAGCCCATGGGGTTCGAGACCCACTTCGGCAACTTGGCAAGACCTCATCTCTACAATAAATCAAAAAATCAGCCAGGCGTGGTAGTGCATGCCTGTAATTCCGGCTACTTGGAAGGTTGAGGTGGAAGGATTGCCGGAGCCCAGCAGGTCGAGGCTGCGGTTGCTGGGAGCAGCCACTGCACTCCAGTCTGTGCGACCAAGTGAGACTCCAACTCAAAAAAACCCCCCCAAAAAACAACAAAAAAACAAAAACAAAAACAAAAGAGGAACCGTCTGCTGAAAGTGAGGGTTGTGAAGTGAATCAGATTAGAGGAAAATAGTAAAATTAATAAAAAGTAGGACTGCTCACCAGGACTAACAGACTAATTGAAATCGGTAGCCAAGGACTTACCTGGCAGGAGATTGCCCAATAACGAGATACTTTCCAGCTGTGTGTGGAAGCCTTAATTAGTTATCGAAGCTGAAGTTTTGCCAGACAGACATGATAAAAGGACAGAAGGCCAAGACAGTTGGGGCATGAAAAGAGAGTACAGAGACAACAGCTTCTAAGCTGGACAGACAAAAAGAAGAGAGTTACAAAAAGGTCTGGATGATGGGAGTTGTCAACAGGAGTGACAGGAATTAAATAAGACAAAACATGTAAAATACTCTGCAGAGTGGCCGGTATAGTATTATTATTATTAGGGGTTAAACACTGAAGTCTTAGACTATTCACAGGACCCTAAAGATAATAACATGTAGTAGTATTTTACAGTCTTAGGCAGATAAGCGAACAGAAGCAAAGTTATTGTAGCTAGTAGGTGAGCCCAGTTAACTGTCAGCATCTAGTCCTTAAACCAAGGTCAATATGGGCTTTAACAAGTTTTTGAGTTCCAATTATGTTTTCATTCCTTTATCATGGGGAAAATGCAGACTACAGTGGTACTCAGGAAGGTCTCAAAACATAGCCCTCAAATGTTAAGTGGCTCCTCCTAGACTTAATAAACACACACACAAAAAGTACAGCAACTGAATATGAGCAATAGTGATATGACCCAGTGCTGCATTGTTAAGCCTCTATTTAGTATGCCAGATAATAAAATTAGTCTAAACAAAAAAGGAGGGAAATAAATGAAAAATCACTCAATTCAATTAAGTAAGATGCTACTATACGCCCATTTAGAATGGCTAAAGTTATAAGGCCCAGCAATACCAAGTGATGGCAAAAGCTTCTTTCACAGACAGCTGGTAGAAGTGTAACTTGGTACAAGCACTTTGGAAAACCTTACAACAGTACCTGCTGAAGCTGAATGCAGTATACCCTACGACTCAAAAACTCTCCTCCTTGGTATGTCCCAACACAAAGCATACATTCACACAACATAAGGTACGTACAAAACATACAAAAATGTTCAAAGTAGTATAACTCATAATAGTCCCAAACTGGAAAGAACCCAAATAACCATAATGATGGAATGGCTAAATTGAAGTATATTCATTTAATGGAATACTATATACCACCAGGATGAACTAGGCCTATATGGAGAATAGGCAAATCTCACAAACATAATGTTGGCTTTAAGAAATCCAAATCCAAGAGTGCATTCTGTTTGATTCCATTTATGTACAATCAAAAACAGGAAAAACAAATCTAGGGTTATAGAAGTTAGAACAGTGGTCACCACTGGAGGGTTTTTGACTGAAAAGGGATAGAGGGCACCTCTGGTTTACTGGCCATGTTCTGTTCTTGTTGCTGAATGTTCACTTTGTAATAATTCATTGAGCTGACTTGTGCCCTCTTACATGTACCCTATACCTCATTAAAAACAAGAGGCTAAGGCCAAGTGCAGTGGCTCAAGTCTGTAATCCCAGCACTTTTGGACGGCTGAGGGGACAGGACTGCCTGAGCCCAGGGGTTCAAGACCAGCCTGGGCAACTTGGTGAGACCTTGTCTCTACAATAAATCAAGAAAAACAAGCCAGGCTTGGTGGTGCATGCCTGTAGCTCCAGTTACTTGGAAAGCTGAGGTGGAAGGATCATCTGAGCCCAGCAGGTTGAGGCTGCGGTGGCTTTGAGCATGCCACTGCACTCCAGAGCCTGGGTGACAGAGTGAGACTCTGACTCATAACAAAAAAACAAACAAAAAACCCTAAAAGGCTAGAAATGACAAAAAGGATGTAGGAAAAGGCTCCCCAGAAGCAGAGGTGCTGGCTCTGCAGAACCTCCTTTTACCCCTGTGTATAGAATTGACCACTACACTACCGAGACAGAATGACCTAAATCATGTTATCTAACATCACAAAATGAATTAAGGGAAGAAGGCGGATTGGAATTGAGGTATGCTAATTTTAGAGTTCTCAGATACTTGAAGGGATATTTCTGGATGTATACAGAGGGATCCTTGTCATCCAGGCACTCATTATCCTGATTCCCATCCCCAAAGCAATGAGGTTGTAAGGGGGAAGTAAAAATAGTCACAACACAAAAAAATATTTACTAAAAAACAAGAACATTTATAAAATTGGTCCTCATTTAAACTTCCTCCTCTGGCTCAGACCAGCCCCTGTTCCTGCTAATTCTTATCAACTGCCCTTGTCAATCATTCTTGGTGCAGTCATTACCATATTACAATTTTAAAAAGAACTATACAACAAAAGCATAGCATAAAACAACTGCAAGGTGAAACTGCACATCTTGCAAAAGATGCAGCACTCAAGAAAGTTGATAAAAGTGCTGCTGCGGAACTACTGAATCCCATGTAAAACCACTGACAAAAGGAGAATCGGTCTAATTAAGATCATCTGACATTGTGGAAGAGCTCCCTGGCTGCTCACCAAGTATCCCTTTCTACTCAGGAACAGAATCCTGATTTTTCAGTGACTGTATTTCTGTTTTAACAACAAACAAACAGATATTGATATACTCTAGTTTAAGAAATGTGAGTCAATTTTTTTTTGAATGTGGAGTCTCTGTTGCCCAGGCTGGAGGGCAGTGGCACGCTCTTGGCCACTGCAGCCTCAACCTGCTGGGCTCAGGTGATCCTTCCACCTCAGCCTTCCCAGTAGCTGGAACTACAGGCACACACCATTACGCCCAGCTAATTTTTTTTTTGATTTGTTGTAGAGATAAAGTCTCGCCAAGTTGCCCAGGTTGGTCTCGAACTGTTTGGCTCTAGTAATCCTCTTATCTCGGCCTCCCAAAGTGCTGGGATTATAGGCGTGAGCCACTCTGCTCTGCCTTGTGAGTCAATTTTTAAACCCAAAGAACTAAACTGACAGTCTCAGACAAACCCTCCTCCTCAAGGAAACATTTGATGCCGCAACCCAGATGCACCCTATTTAAGGAATAAGGCAATGCTTCAAAATGTCATAGGCCCAATGAATACGTAGACATATATTTGGGAGGGTGGAAGCATGTCTAATGAGTCCACAACAAGTTGTGAGCACTGATGAACTGTGTTCAATTACCATTCCAAGCAGACACTAGTTACAAAAGGTTTACATGAAAGGAACAAAAAAGCAAAAATAGATACATGAAAGTTACATTGAATAAGGAATTCAGACATTCACAGCGACTTCAGCAAAGGCCAGGAAAGATTTCAAGGTATTACCATGGATATTCTACCGCACTCATGCACCGTGCCAGGAGCTGGTGAACAAAGACAGGGTCCCTGCAGTCATCGTTTGCTTAAAGAAATCGTAAGTTACTGTTTTCATTAAAACCTTCAATTCCTTTACTGTTGTCCATATTCCCAGAACTACTAGGTTTTGCAGTTACTCCTACTCACGTCCTGCTTTGTCCTCTTGGAAAAACAGGACCTCAGTCAGTCCATAAAACCCGAACATCCCCACCAATCTCCTTAGGTGTGACTTCTGCACGCTTCTCGGCACAGTAGACACGGATTACGGAAGTCGATTACGGAATCTCGGAATATAAATAAAACCGCCCAGGTCTACCTTCTCCGGCGTTAAGCTCCGTTCTTCTCACGTCCACCTTCGGCCGACGCGCAGCACTTTCGCGAAGGCACCAAGGCACCACACACACATCGGCCACAGAACAAAGAGCTCCTCTCAATCACAGGG